GAACCTGCTCAAGTTTATCAATATTTTTGGTGTTGTACTGGGGGTTCAAAACTGATCGTCATACTTCCTATCATAAATGGTAACCTTGGTAAGGAGTGTCTTGCATTGCTGTAGCTAAGTGACTTTTCATGTACACCTTTTGTAGTCTCTGAAGTGTGGGTTTGGTTTGAGTCTGACTTTAAGCACCATGAGCATAGAGGATCACTTTGAAGGAATGCTTTGCTTTATTTAGCATGAAGGTAGCCATCAGAGGAAACACTATGAAAATTGATGTAGATTAAACTTATGCTGATCATTATTTTGTTACCACAGATGGTCATGTGAAGGAGGTGAAAGTTGGGGTTTTTTTAATTGTTATTATTTAATAGTACTGGTCTTTATACAAGCTCCTTCTCTCCCCATCACTAGCACAGAGGAAGATTTTTACAGAATTACTTAGTCTAGATGTTCTGGAAGTTTATTCCATAGATAGATCATCTGAATCAAAAGTACTTTGTATGTCGTTCTACACGATTTGTTCTTAGCTCTGTGATCTCCATTGCTGCAGAGGAGTTGCTACATCAACCATGGTGATCTATGGATGAAGTTCTGCCTTTGAAAGTAGAATTTGGCTTTTTTTTTTTTTTTTTGCTTTAAAATTTAAACCTGAGACTGTGGAAGTTTGGAGAAAGACTTGACTAGTGTAATAGTAGTACCTGCTGAATACAGGCAGAGAGTTGTGTACAATTTTTTTTTTAATGCTTCCATAGAAAATTGTAAAGAAACTATGCAGAAAGAGCCTTTCAGTTTTGTTTCATCATGGAATAACCTGTGTTCCTATCCTTGTCATCCAAACCTATTCCTATCCAAATGAATAGACTTGGCTCAGTGTTGGAAACATGTTTTGGTACCATAATTTATCTTACCTCTTTTTCTAAATATTGTCTGGGTAACCCTTTTCAACAACCTCACCATCGCCACCCCTCCTTGTTTTTGAGGGCATGAAGGAAGCTTGGAAGTCAGAGTCTGCCTGTCATTTACTAGCTACTTCATTACTGTGTTGGCAAGTCTTTTTTCATAACTCCCTGGCAGTAAGTCTTAGTTTGTCTGGCATCTTCTGTGTGGAAAAACTGAAAAGCAAGCAGACATTGCAGATGAGTTATAGTAAGTTAAGTAATTCTGCTACAGAACTCTATTGATGTAGTAAGAGCTTGGGAGAAAGCTGTCTCTTATGTTTCTACAGGTTTTATCATTTCAGAGAAATAAATTAGAGCAGTTCAATACAGAAGATTTTGTGTAGTCTTCAGTAAATGTTACTGTATTGATTTGTGCTTGACTCATGCCGTCAGAATATTCTCTCGATGTGTAAACTGTCATGGTTCAGTTTAAAATCACGTTATTATTTTTAAGATGCTAGGCATTCATCATTTCAAAAATGTAATGATTTACTGGATGAGATTGCTTTGTGGTGGATGCCATACTTTTTTTCTCTTGCCATAAAGTTGTCTTTTGAGTGTTTGTTCTTGTAGTCTTATTTTGTCACCGTACCGTTTTTTTTTGGTCACCTAAAGCAAGGTCCTGTATTTTCTTAGTATCTGTAATGTATCTATTGAATTCTTTTAATAAAATCTAGTGCCTCAGGGGAACTGGTGGCTGGAAGTAAAAAGGCAATCCAAATCTAGGGGAGAGCAGGAGAAAAATCTCAGGACTTTCTGATATAGAAAGAAGAGGTGGAGAAATGAGTGGTGAACGGTCACTGCACAGTTCTGACTTTGAGGTAGAGAGGAACAGAAATGTGTTCCCTATAGGACGTGTCACATCAGTGCTAAACTCAGTGCTACTCCCATTCCAACTGTCTGGAAGTTGTTTTTCCTTTGGGATCTTTCATTGTCCCAGCTAATCCAGCTTCAGGGAAGGGTTTAATTGTGAGTACCTTGTGATGAAGCGAGAGTAACTACACGAAAGATCAAAAGTAGAGCTCTTCTGCAATTTCATAGTAGCTGCCTGAATCGTAATAATATTGATTGAAGAAGCACGTGATGAATTGTACTAACCCGAGCTGTATCATAGCTGTTACCCTACCACATCACCAAGTCAAGCATCTGTAGCACTGGAGCTTTAAGGCACTCCTGTGATAATAAAAAGCACAGCTTAACTCAAACTGGAGAGCCATATGTGTGGATAGGGTGATCACTGAAGTTAACACTGCAGTAAAAAGCAGCCTTATGTTTCTATTCCATGCAGTCCTTACGCTGTGCTGCTCAATGATGGCTGCTATACCGGAGGAGTTATTTGCAGTAGAGAATTTGGACAGCCTGTAGCACCGTCCTTCACCAACAAGGCTTGTGATTCTTCAGCATTAAGTAAATGAGAGGTCTGCAATAGTGGAGAGCTTGAATCTATTCCAAATGTTAGAGCTCGCTGCTGTAACCAGATAGTCTTGTTGTATTCTTGCTGACTAATTGAGGGTGTTGTTTAGTCTTTAAATTCAATGAGAATGTAACCACTATTCTCACAAAGAAGTTCTGCAATAGTATAATGGAGTCTGGAGTAGTGCCAGTAGGTATTGGACTGAAAAAAACAGACTTTTGAGAAGGATAAGTTCTACAGTAATTGGCCTGTGGAAGTTTTATTGCAGGCAGAACTATGGTACTGTCTTTTATTGCAAGTAAAATGGTTTTACTTGTTAAAATAACAATGGATTTTATTTTTAGTAGCAAGAGCAATGTTTTTGGAGCTATGTAGCCACATTTATTTTTCTGCTTCTAGATAATCTATACATTGTATATAAGATTGTTTCCATATTGAAGTATTAGTCTTGTTTTGAGCTTGCATGATTTTTTTTAGAAAAAGAGAACAGAACACTGTTAAAGCTCCTTTTTTATTAGATTTTGAATTTACAAATGCTTTTTATTTTTGTAAATATAAATTCTAATTAAATGTGAGCTCACAGTTAAATATAAGATCACTATTTCTGAACAGTCCTTTCTCTGTAATGGGTGATCAGTTTCAGCTCAGTTCAGTAATTTCAGCTGCTGAATTTCTCTCAACAGCTACTGTAGGAAAAAATGCATGAATAAATACATCAAAGGTATTAAAATGCCAGAGTAATTCTGGGCCTCATCTTCTTAATATATTACTGTTTTAACGTATTCATTTCTGATCCTTTTAAAGCTGAAATAAGTGTGTGTTATGAGTGTTGTGACTTCAGACATTGGCAAGCCTTCAAGCAACAAAGCTGAGAATTATTATAGCATATCTGGAAGAGCAGCATACTTTCATTTTGCATTACTGCAAGTCATGAATCATCTAGGGAAATACCCACATAGTTCGATCACAATTTATTCACACCTAAGAATACTACTTAGTCCCAAACCAGAAGTGATTGGACTGGTACGTACTCAAGAACACTTTTAACAAAATAGGTCATTCTTTTGTACTTCGTTAGATTATGAGAAGTATTGAGAAGTTTCTTGTACGAGCAATACGTTGGTCCTGCGTCACCGGGATGTAGTCTCTAACTAGATTGTTTCTTAGACTTTGCACACAGTTACGATTTCCGCAGACATACTGCTGTCATGGCCTGATTGTGGTGTCTCTTCTAAACTTTTGTTAAGTTTTCTCCCCCCATCTGCCCTTTGCTGCCCTTCATGTTCTTTGTTCTGTCTTTTGCACAAGTAGTCTTACAAGATTTTTGTCTTCTCCTCTGAGGCCTCCATGTCACCATTACCTTAATTAAGTTCTTGTTAAACTGGCATCTCTCCCTTCTCGCTTTCATGGTCTCCTCCTGCTTTTCTCTTCTCGTTCTCTGCCACCTTGCCTCTTCTTCCCATAATAATTATTTCCCTTCATAGGTCAGTGACTTTCAAAGATCTTTCTAATCATCATAAATTAAAATAGGCATGGTTTCATCCTAAATATTTTCTCTGCAGAGCTTTAAAGCACAAATATGAAATGATGCTGTAGAGAAAGTTGCGGGATGACTGGTTGTGTGGTAGTCTGATGTTGATTTTGGTCTGACAGGTTTGATGTTATAGGCAGAAGGAGCAGTGCCTTTCATAGTTTCTGCTTCCCTGTAATTTCCTAGGTGCTGTGCTGAAAGTGTATGAATATTGTAGTTTTAAGGCAGCCTGCTGTCAGTGTTTTAGTATGATGGTTGAGAAATGGGAGGTTACATTTTAATATGGTTAGCCGTCACTTTTAAACTATATAAGTGCATAGACTCTCATAACAGCTTCATGTACTTATCAGATGCTTGGTCAGAAAGGAAGACAGGCAAATGATAGCTGTCTTATATGTCAGTTTGCCTTTCTGAAAAGGAGAGGAAGAACAACAGCATTGTACTTTGAATGCTTGTTTAGCACTAGTTGATAAAAATTTCCCTTCTAACTGTGCTGTAAAATGCAGGAGAAGGAAAAAGGGTAGAATAAAAAACAGCTCCCCTTGCAATCACACCTTTGCAGGAACTTGATTTCACAGGATCTGGCTTTTTTTTTTTTTTCCCCCCTGCGGCACATGTTTATGAGCAAATAATCTTTATATATGGTAAAATATGTTACTTCAAAGTCAAATATAATGCAAAACAAATCTGTTTGGCTTGTGTAGATGGTGCAGAGCATCAAAGTTGGGTTGTTTGGATTGCTGAGTCTTCATTCATGTAGTTTGCATTTGTGGTCAGTGGAATCATGTAGCCATACTTGCAAAGTGTATGTTAGGAACGTGAAAACACAGGAGCTTGTGGTACAGAAGCCAAGGTAAAGTAAAACTCGGAGGTGAAAGTGGGAGACTTCGTTTCTGTACGTGAAACTGAATGCTGGAAGGAGTAAGGTTCCATTGAAATGGTATAAAAATAGCACAGAAGTTTGATGTGAAAGGTAGCCCTCCTGTAAGGATGCTGTACTACTTTGAAAGAGATAGATAGGGATATAATCGCAAGCATTCCTTTTTGTCTCTTCTGTGTAGAGATCAAGACAAAGAAATGTGTTTTAATAACAAATTAAACACTTCATTTTTTTCTCCACAGTAAAAGAAGTGGAAAACAAGCATTGCAAAACAATGAGGTAATTCTTTTTCATGTAATATATTTTTAATAATTTTAAATAATACTAATTTTTTTTTAACTTTAAGTCCCGTAACTGTAGTTTTGTTTTGTACAGAATGATGGCTATGGTGCAAATAATTCTTTCAGACTTGTATTGGTGAAACAAATGGAACAATCAGATTAATAGGATGTGGCTGAAGTTTGACTGCATAATGTGCTTTTTCATCTGTCTATGCCTTATGAATGTTTAAGGAGTAGTGTTGTAATTTTGGCTGTATGCATAGCAACAAACAGCTGCCTGTAGATTTGGTATGACTTGTTTCTTTTAAATAAAAAGCAAAATACAAGTATGGGACAAGATGTAGAGTCTGACCGTTTTTAAAAAGTACTTCAAACTCCTGGTAGGTTTTGCATTTCCCTGGTCTTTTGTGTGTCAGTGAATTAATTTATTTGAAAAGGATATATTACATCCCTTTAAGTCAAGTTTTTTGTTTCATGTTAAAATAAAATACGACAGTTAGCCCAAAGGACAGAGCCCGTGATTAGAAGTACTGAGTCATATGGTGATATGAATAGATAATTATTGCATGTACTTCCATCTTTTTTGCTGAAAACTTAAGAAAAGGCTTGCACTGGACAAATATAAAGGTGTATGTTAACTTCTAGCCAAACCTTTACTGCACTATCTGCCGTAAACACTTGTATTTCGCATAGCTATACCTATTTGTAAAAAACTTCAGTAGCCTTCTCTTGTTCCTGCCCATCTTGGATATAATTATACTGAATGAGGAATTAACAGTCTAAGGAAAAAACCTCTGGAAAGGAAGATACTGGAGTTAATGTAAGTGCATCACAAAAGTAGAAATGGGGAAAAGGTGAATAGGGAGGAAGAACAGCTTCAGCTCAGATGTCAAATATGTTTAGTCAGGTACTCCTAGAAATCTTGCACATCAGACATGGTGTTTGTCATTTCTGTTAACAGAAAAGCAATAACATATGTAGGGTCATGCTTGATTAGGCCTTAGTAGTCCTCAGTTATTGGGACTGCTTGCATTTTTGTGTAGATAATTTCTAATCCAAATATTTTTATCATCTACTATATAGCATCCTATCTGGCTGAATTTTTACCTGTAGCTTGCATTCATAATTTTTTGAAAAGGACAGGGCTATACTTGACTTCATCCAATGAAAAACACGTGTAGGCTTCTTCAAAGAGCATTCGGAGTTTACGTTTACTGGGGCTCAGAGCTTGCACTTGTTGCCCATCATGTTGCATACGTAAGCAGTAAGTGAAGAGAATAAGGTGGACTCTTTGTGCAAAGTTCTGTGGTTTGATCATCCTTAGAAATAAAAACAAAAAATAGTCCATGATAGAGTTGTTGGAGTTGATTAATGGTGAATCACAGGCTACTTCCTTTGCCTTCCCTATCCCGCCTCCCTTGTTTTTTTCTTCCACATGTCCTGCCTGAGTATGTTATAGTATTACTGTAGGCATTGATAACTTGTGCTTCACATGAGTCTTGGGAAGCAAAGATAGCAGTATTAGGTTGATTAGACAGTACTTGTTTTAAGTACACATGTATGCCCTTTTAGTCTGTTTTCAGGACTGAATCCTTATGTCACAACTGTGAAAGGAAAGAAGGAAAGAGAGGAAAGATACCCGGACCATTAGCTTGTTAAAAAGTATTCAGGTTAGTCAGAACAGAAAATAGGGTTATATAGAGTAAATAAAAGGTGTTTCGATATATGAGGGGTTTTGAGTCTGGTAGATTTAGCTCACTAGGAGTGTGTTGCGCTGTTTTTTACAAGTAAAGGAATAACAAATTCCGGTTTCGCTTGAATCAGGTTTGGCTGTACAGTCAAGGAGTTTTAACCATTGATGGTCTAGACAAATGATGGAAGGCATCTTTAAAAATGCAGGCTGATGGTGGCTTCTAGAGACAAGCAATGTTAAGAGATGGCAAATTGCATTATAACATGTAATTGCATGTTTTAGTACTGTGGTCTGTGTTATTTGTGTATCACTTTTAACATACATATGAAATAAATATTATTTCATATCATGGCAGCTACTTCCTATTGCAATTCGTTTTGATATCTTCGTTCACTTACTTAGGATTTCTGTTTGCTGTTGAGGGCATGTGCTCCCGATTCTCACATTTAACTTGTGTGAGCAAGTCTTAAGTTGGAGGCAAATACTGCAAACGCTGCAGAAGGAAGGTAGTCGTAAATAACTTGGATAGGGAAAATATCACATCGACTTTTAAATAATACGTTACAAAAAATCTCAGTTTTCTTGTTTTGCTTGTTCTGTGTGAAGCAGAAAGAGGGAAAGAAGGAGCGAGCAATGGTGGACAGAGTGTTTATTGCAAGAATATGTCGAATCCTGAAAATAATGGTCCCTAGAACACTTTGTAAGGAGGTAAGCGTTGCCTGCAGTAACAAATAAAAATAAGCATTTTTTGAATCAAGTTTTCTTTTGTAATTATATCAAACTTTAAGCAAAAGCGTATACCTTACTTGAATAGGACTAAATTGTACTATGTTTTAAAATAGCAACATGTTAATATAAAAATCTACACAGATGTTCAGTTCTTAGATCACAGAACAAGTTGCATTCTGGTTTCAGTTACATGATAAGCCATTTACTGTCAGCTAATAACTACTCTCTGTGGCATATCTTTTAAAAGGGCATCCAGGTTTTGCTTGATTCAGTGCGAGGTAGTACACTTCTCTGTGCAAATGCTTCCTATCTTTAAATAGCTTGCTGTTCATCCATAATTTTGCTTTTGTAACTTAACATTTAGGCCAACAATTATTAGAAAGTGAATTTGTCAAAATATCTGTTAGCATCGTTTCAGGAAAGGTATGCAGACTAGAATTTAGCAAAATAAAGTTGTTTGCCTCAGCATCTTTCTCATGTTTTCCAGAACATTTAAGTTTGTGGGTTTTTTTACAGAGCATTAGTTGAGTTCAGAACTTAAATGGTGAGTGGTAAAATATCAGAACTTCAACATAGATCAGGCACAAGAGCAATGAATTCCAATGTACAGAATGTAGAGCAAGCACAGCAGCCGGCTAGCCTGGATGAACAGGGATCTTCGACAGCTCATTCACAAAAAGGAAGTACATGGAAGGTAGAAGCACAGATGGGAGTGCCTCTGAGAGTGTGGACAGAGCTAGCCTCCATCAACTTCAAAAGGTCACGGCCATCAGAATAGGTTACTGATAATCCCCCCAAAACCCAAACATCACTCCCATCTTCAGAAGCTATGATACCAGAACCTACAGACTGGTCAGCCTCACCATATTCGTAGTAAGGCTCTGAGCAAATCCTCCTGGAAGCTAACTCTGGCCAAATGAAGGACAAAAAGGTGATTGCAAACAGCCAGCCTGGATTTATGAATGGCAGATCATGCCTTACTAACTTGATTGCTTTCAGGTCATCAGATGAGATGACTGGCTGTGTGGATGGATAAGGGAAGAACAGAGGATGTTGAATACTTAAATTTTAGTGAGGCCTTGAGACTAAGGTCTCCGCTAGTACCCTGGCAGTCAAACTGAATTGGCTGGATGAGTGGACAGTGAGGTGGGTGGAAAAGCGCCTGAACTGTTGGGCTTAAAGGTTTTTGATCAATGGTACAAAGTCTGACTGGTTACTAGTGGCTCTGTTTTGAGTGGGGAGTTGGAGTAGGTGACAGTCAGAGGTCCCCTGCAAACCTATGTGGCCCTACACTTAAGGCAGAAAAGCGTCTCAGAATAGCAGTAACTTCTTTATCCCTGCAATCGTCCATCTCATAGCGTGTGTCCGGTATGTGTATCAACCAAATGCACCTTTTAAAAAAGGCAAACTTTCTCCGTAAAAATGTAATTAATATTTTATTAAAAATATTGTATGCCAAAGTGTTTCCTGCAAAGTAATCAAATATTGCATTAGCTGGGAGCACCAGGGTAATACTTTTCTGTGAGACATGGTTGGACCACTTACTAGAAAAGAGTGGTTAATTTTATGTGTTATTTAACTGTTGAACTTCTGGTTTTGTACTAGACAGGTTATTTGCTGCTGATTGCTGTGATGCTGGTACTCCGCACATATTGTGATATTTGGATGATTCAAAATGGAACAGTCATTGAAAGGTATCTGTAAACTTGTTATTTTTAATCATTCTTGTGTTTGACAGGGGAAGTAGTCTGTGTCAGAACACGTGTTCAGACATTTTATAGCTTGCTTATTTATATAAAACAGTTGGAAAAATGCTATCGTAATTTTGCGGGGTAGGTCCCCATATGTGTTGAAAGAAAAAAATTTTTTAATCAACTCTTTTTCTGCTGTTGAACACAACTTTATTTTTTAAATGAAAATTTACTCATTAAATGATTTTCAGTTCTTTTGGTCACATTTTGTACACTGAAGACTCTACATCTTATGTTGATCTGAACATCCAAGAGGGCACTTCAGAACAGGCAGGGTAGTGCTTCTATGTCATAGACTCAAATGTGTTGTTTGGATATTAGGACTGTTACTTCTTCATACTGAGCTGTTTGCTATTTAGTTTGATAAACACAACGCTTTCAGTCTTAGTGGTTTAGGAAATGTTTTCTAGACCTCTGATTATTCTTGTTGCTCTTGTCTTTGACTGAAGCAAGGCAGAATTTGTCTTGAAGTGTGAGTTCAAAATGATACTGTATTTCAGGAGGGACTTTCAGTGCTTTGTAGAATGGAAGGACTGCTTTGTTTCTCTCTTGTGAGAATCTATAAAAGCAAAGAAGGAAAGGAACTGATATGCTGTGACCATGAATTTGAGGCCTTAATGCAGGCAGTCACTGCAGGAGCAGAAGGGAGGTAATTGCTTAGTCTGTCACTTACCACGTAACTTACAGAAGTCTGTCATACTTGATCCTACAGCTGATACCACAGGTTTCCACAGTGACTTTTTTTCTTCCCCTCTGTGTGGTCCACTGAGAATTTGTGCTCTTAAGACATGCTAGTTTGTACTTTCTTGTTTCTCTTGTAACTAACTTAGCTGATGGTCGTTTACAGTGCTATCATTGGCCGCAGCAGAAAAGATTTCAAGAAATATTTGTTCAACTTCATCGCTGCAATGCCTGCAGTAAGTGCTTTTCCTGTGCTAGCCCTTTATGAGAAGATATTTAAAATATGTAAATTAAGAATTTGAGGAGATCTTAAAACATGGAAAATCAGCATTTTTTCCATTTTGACTGCAACTATTTTTATGACAGATATGTTTATGTTTTCAGGTTGGTGGTGTTCATGGCAATTTTGACTGATAGCTTAACGTTCCATCTGTAGTACTGCATAATAACATCTTGTTGATTGGATGATGTTTCAACATTGTATGTTTGAGATTCTTTTGACACCATTGAAGATGAAGAGTTCTTTTTAGTCCTTTATTTTTTTTGTTTCTTACAGCTGCTTCTGAGACTAGTTATGGTTTCTTTCCACCCTTTAACTTTCCTTCAGCTTGTCAACGTATCTGACTTGCACCAGACAGAAATAGTTGTTACTACCTAATAGACAATGTACCTGGTTTACAATAGCTTTAAAAGTGAATTGATTGATATAAAGTAGTGATTGTCAAATTGGTGGCTCTTTTCTAGAGCTTATCAGAAGAGCTGAAGATATGCTATATGAACATAGTCTTATATTAAATCTTTTGATGTGGTGAGATCCACTAGGAACTGGAGTTTTCCAAAATGTAGACAGAAACCTGATCAGTGGTCATGCAGACACTATATGGTTGGTCTTAGGCTTGTTAATAGTATTATGACTTCAAGGGGAGAATTCACCTGTTCTGAAGTGTTTGCACAATCTATGCTGCAAACTGATCTCAGTGTATTAAATATTGTTAGCTAAATGTTGAAATGATGTCTCTTATTTTAGATCTCTTTAGTGAATAACTTCCTGAAGTATGGTCTAAATGAATTGAAACTTTGCTTCCGAGTAAGACTTACCAGATACCTCTATGAGGAATATCTAAAGTAAGTAACACCTTGTTAATGTCTAAAGGTTTTAAACTGATATGACTTGATCGTAATCAATTTAGTTTTTAAGTACATAGTAAGAAGGTAGCAAGGTGCTTAATAGGTTAGGTGTACTGTTTAGAAAGGGCTTTTAGTTGCAATTAACTTGCAGTTGAGTCGCTTACCTGGATTGTGTATGGCACAGATGCGAAGACAGCAGAGTTGGCTCAGTTGAGGCAGGGGTGGGGGGAAAAGCATTGTAATGTTTCCATTACTGGCTCAGCTCCCAAAGTACTTCAGTTGCTTGCATATAGTGCTAATAATCCTGCAGACAGAGTTGGATGCATGAACTTGAGTAGCTGCTTTTGTTTTGGTTGTCGGGTGTGCTGATGCAGGGCTTGTGAGGGTTTTCTAACTCACAGTGTAGCAGCAGTGCATAGAGCAGCACGGGCCTGAGCTTCAACTAAGACATCCTGGAGCCTAAACAGTTCTGCAGGGTTTAATGTGGTTCTGGTCAGGCAGAAGCACTGGCTATGTTGACTCCTTACAGTCATTTAATGTTTGCACTACTTTGCATCTCGATTGTATAAAACGGGGGGTTTCCAGTTATTTGAGATCTCAGCTGTTGAATTGTTTTCTACTACTTAGCTGTTGTTTTGTTTCAGATCTTATACATACTACAAAATGGGAAATCTGGACAACAGAATAGCTAATCCAGATCAACTCCTTACGCAGGATGTGGAAAAATTCTGTAACAGTGTAGTGGACTTGTATTCAAACCTTAGCAAGGTAAGTCTTTTCAGAGAGAACTTCAAGTAATAGCTGTGGATGTTTAGGATGTGATGTCAGAGCTCAAAACAATTGCTTGCATTTATGTGTGTATTGCTTGGAGTATGGTGCTAAAAATTTGTTTATGGTATTCTGTCGTTCCAAGCTCTTTGTGGTTTCCATGACCTCTGCTAAAGCACTGTTGTGAATTGTTATAGTTTGTATTAATTTTTTGCTTAAAGAACTTGCCACGTTCTTTTGCAGTTGAACAGTGATGAGTATGCTTTTTCAGCTAGTTGGGTTTCAGTAGAAAACCAATGACTAGCTTTTAGTTACATGTCAATATTATTTTGGGTAGGGAGGTGTGGTTGAACAAACATTTCCCTCTGTTTCTGGTGTAAATTTTAGGGGATTTAGGTAATGAAGTAGAATACTCTTGAAATTTTTAGACTACTTTTTTTTTCTGATGCTATGTTGTTCATACAAGCAGATGTATAAAGCAAAATACAAGCTGATGTGTTCAAAAACTTCTGGCTGCAAAACCTGTGGTTCAGCTGCTGTAGCTTTGAGGGATAGTGTATGGAACAGAATGCTTGCAAACTGGAATATTGCTTCTATCGGGTACATAGCCAGCTATATGGCATTAGTCTCCTGAGTACTTCTCATGATTACTTCAGTTACGAAGTAACCGTGCAGTCTAGTCCAACTCTACTTAGTGAGCAGAGTGTTACTACAGACCTAAAACAGTGAAGTGCTTTTTTTATATGGTATGCACTTTATCGGAAGATCATGATGTTTTTATGTTCAATTCTTGAGAGAGTGTTTTTAGGAAAATGTCATGTGGCCGAGATTCCTTTTGTTATAGCATTTAGTTTGTATAATACGTAAACCATTATTGTGCTTTTAATGTAGAGCTATAACTGTTCTTGGCATGGTTGGTGATTTCTGGACCATTTTACATTCCTGTTATTTTGGTGTTCTAATGCTTTTTTCCTATGCTTCTCTTACAGCCTTTCTTGGATATAGTTTTGTATATCTTCAAGCTAACAAGTGCAATAGGAGCTCAGGTAAATTGAATGGTGTTTTTAGCATTATAAGCAAATTTTCTCTTCTTTGGTTATAGCCTTGTACCTGTTTGGATTCTAAGGGAAAACTCTAGATGTTTATTATAGATTCATCCATTTTTTTGAAGGGATATACTGAAAATATACTTTTATACTTAATGTTTTGTGTGCTTTAGTGCTCTCTATCTTGGGGCAAGCAAAATAAACCGCAGAATTTGCAGTCATTTGATCAATTATTTTAAGAAACAAGAAAGTTCTTTGTTTTCTTCTAGCAGTTACTTGGGAATCCCATTTAGTACAGTACCTTTCTGACCACTTACATCTTGTGTGACTTCTGTTTAAGGAAGAAAAGAAGTTTTTTGTTTCTTTGCAGTATCTATAAAGGGAAGCCATTCCTTGTTTGGAGCTGTATGACCATTATATTCTCTATCCACACCCCCCACCCAACCACCCCCACCCCCAATAAGTGGAATCATGACAGAAATAATTCTTCAGCTTAGTAAAACGATACATTATCAGAAATGTTCAGGGTTTGACAAAAAGTAGCTCTGGGAAACACAATGTAGATTTTGTAGAAACAGACTACTATAAGGCTTAGGTGAACCTAGGTATTTTTTCCAGTCTCAGATGTCTTTGCATTGCTCTTTGTAATACTTAGTTATTACTTTATGCCAAATTCAGTTTATGCCATGCCACACTTACATTTGAGCATGCTGTTTGGGAGCCTGGATCTAGTGCAGCTTAGGATCCAGCAGAATAAGAGATCCCTACCAGGACTGCTTGAGAGAAGCAGGAAATGTGTTGGAGATGTCTGGAACAAGTAAGGGAATGGGACTGAAATATTGGCTCCTGTGACAAAGCAGCAAATACAGAGAAAAACAAGCAGGTAGAAATGAAGGAGAGGAAATGAGAAAGGACGAGGAAATTAATAGAAACAAGCTCGGAGAATGGAACATGGAGATCACACTGGGTGATGGTAAAAACTGGAGTAGAAGGCTGGGATGAGAAGGGGCATCTGGGGACAGAGAAATAGCAAAATTAGTAAAACAGTATTTACAGCACAAAAGAAAGGAAAGTGATGGTAATTGTAAGAGTAATGGAATTGGTAATGTAGACGCATGGGAGGTGAGAATCAAGGAATTCATGCTTTGTGGTCATTTTGGATACAGAGTTTGCAATGTGAGACCATCTAGATGGTCAGTTTTTATTCTTTTTTGCTATTCACAGGGCCCGGCTAGCATGATGGCGTACTTGATAGTTTCAGGGTTTTTCCTTACACGTTTAAGGAGACCAATTGGCAAGATGACTATTGTAGAACAAAAATATGAAGGGGAGTACAGATACGTCAACTCACGGCTTATCACAAACAGGTATAGATTTACGTGGATGGCAAGATATAAGTAATACTGTGGCGTGAGTGAAAGCTGTATGTTAAAATACGCTTGGAAAGTCTGATACTGTCAGTTCTGAGCAAAGTGTCTGCATCTTTATGCAGATTATTATTAAGTAAATCATATGTGCGTTATATTCCTAATTCAGAAGACAAACTGTATCTGTGGTGTAATAAGCTTATGTTCTACTATTGTGAAAAAGTATAAACTCTTATTTCATAAGGTAACTGAAAGAACAATATTCCTGTGTTTTGTGGCTGACTTTTTCAAAGACTGTCTTTAACAAGATGAAGTTGCATTCTTTGTGGGTTTGTTGTGTTGTGTTGTTTGTTTTTTTTTTTAGTGAGGAAATTGCTTTTTATAATGGAAATGTGAGAGAAAAACAGACTATTCACAAAACCTTCCGTAAACTGGTAAGACTTCTTTTATCTTTTAAACATTTTAAGCAAAACTTCAGTTAATTTTATCATGGTGATTCTTGACATATATTAATGTAAATTGAGTTATAGTGGCTTTGGGTTTATGCTGCTACAGTAATTAGATTTATAAATAAATTAGTAGGCTATAAGCAGAGCAGAATTTTCTGTTAGAATGGTCTTTCTCTTGCCACTTACCCCCTTTTTACCCACCACAATTACTGTTCTCTCACTGCTTAGTTTCACGTGTAGATTGTTTTGATCTAGAGTGCAAGCCTTTGCCAGCATGGACACTTGTGCAGTGCTTGTCATAGGTGACAGACATTGAGGTGTTTGTGACTTACTGAAAATAACTGTATTTGGAATCAAACTTCTGTAAAATAAGAAACAATAGTAAAACAGGTACTGATACAGTTTGACTTTTTTTCTTCTCTAACTTACCAGGTGGAACACTTGCATAATTTCATTCTGTTCCGATTCTCTATGGGTTTCATTGATACTATCATTGCCAAATGTAAGTGTTTTGTCCAGTGTTAATGGACTGCTATAAATCACAAAGTGTTAAACTTCTTACATGAGAATTCTTTTTTTCTTATTGCTTCAATTAATGTATAACTTAATGGTTACTCTTAAACTGCAGACCTTGCCACTGTGGTTGGTTACCTGGTCGTTAGTCGCCCGTTTTTGAACTTGGCTGATGCTCGTCATCAGAATAGTACTCATGCAGAACTTCTGGAGGTAAATAGAACAGAATTAAAACAGTTTCCTGGACTGAATTTTTATTAGTCCACATAAAGAAACTGTCTTCTACTCTAGGATTACTACCAAAGCGGAAGAATGTTACTGAGAATGTCTCAAGCTTTGGGCAGAATAGTCCTAGCAGGCCGTGAAATGACGAGATTGGCTGGGTAAGCTTAATAACAGTTGTGTAAAATAATCTTTCTTAAGGTTATGTTATTGCTGTTTCTCATCTCATTTTAAGACACTGACTGTAGAATTAAAATGAGCTTATTTGCTTTGTTCATTGCATGGCTCTAAGAATGTAAAAATTAATTGGCACATTTTCAGATACATTTTTAGCATAAAATGTTTTTATGTCCACTAATAATTTTATATCTGAATAGAAGCAGCATACAGTTTGAATGTTTAATTGAAAAGACATTGTCAAATGCTCATAAATCAATTATGTATGGATTATTTACCAAACTTGTGGTTTTTTTACATCTTAAGAAGGATAGTGATGAAATACTTGGCTATTACAGGAAAAGGTTCTTGTAAATATTGTGAGTATTGGACAACCTTCATGCAACTCTGAAATGTAACCATTCTGTTTCTGTACTGGATTGAACAACTCTGTAATTTTGACAGTTTAACAGAGTACTCAGGAGAGCTTCTATGGATTTCTAAAACTTCTAAAGGTTAATTACTTCATTTTTGGTTTTAGTTTCACAGCTCGAATTACAGAATTAATGCAGGTTCTGAAGGACTTGAACAGTGGCAAATATCAGCGTACTATGGTATCGCAAGAAAAAGGTAGGTGCAGCATAATATGCAATATGTGCATCTCTGTAGTGTTCTAGTCTCTAATAATTTTTTTCTTAATTTGAAGATGCAGATAAAAAGCAGGCTTTGCCTTTGATACCTGGAACTGGAGAAATTATCAACGCTGATAACCTTATCAAGTATGTTTCCACAACTTCAATATTTTTGATGTTGTCTGCCTTTTAAGTCTTTCCTTCTACCACTATAAATAGAGGTTTTAATACAGTTATTACAATATGCAATTCCTGTTGTAGTATAGTTTATTTACAAATAATTTCACCTCACTCCCACTCAGCATTTCTATTCTGTAAGTCAATCCTTGTCCTCTCATGTTAGCAGAAGACATAATATCCTGTCTGGACTTAGCCTTTTTGGTAACATTTCCTGCTGTCCTTTGGAATATGACTTCCCAGACCATTTTGTTAACACTTTATCAAATTTCTTCGTAGAAATATGTTGATTACAGATTTTATTCTATGCTACAATTCGGCTGTAAAAATTGGGGGCAAGTCTGTATTCAGTTTCAGAATATTTGCTTATATTTCTGTAGACTTGGAGAGTTCATTTGCATACTCAAGTAGCAATCAATACCTCGGTTCTTTGCAGTCTGAGGAACGTAGTATTGGCATAGTAGTACTGTTTAAAGGCATAAAGTAAAGCCAATTAAGAGATTAAATAGCCTCAATCTGGTTAATCTGGAAAGCAGATAGTAGAGAGGGGAGGAAGAATGAAAGGAGATGATGGAGCTATTTTTATTTTTTTATTTAAAGAAAAACAAAAGCGAGGGGAGGTGAGCAGCGAATTAATTCATTGCGTATCCTAGAACTAATGGAATACACTGAACTAGCAGGTTTAAAATGAAGTGCATCCTTAAATGTGGGTTTATATCCACAAGGTGTTTTGGAGACCAAAGGCTTAGAAGGATTCAGAAAACAAATACATGAAGGGAGGGGGAAAAAAAAAAAATCTGTAGATGTTTGTTAAACACTAAGGTGCCGCTTTTGGTTCAAGACCTTCCTTAGCTGTTAACAGCTGGAAACTGAGACAGTGTGCTGAATGAAGTACTGCTGAAGTCTTGCCCTATTCCTTAAATCTCTGAGTAAGCATGCAGTATTAGCTGCTTTTAGGCAACTGCTTTTTTCTAATGCTGCACTACAAACAGGTTTGATCATGTTCCATTGGTGACACCTAATGGAGATGTTTTGATTCAAGACCTTAGCTTTGAGGTAAGTTTTTTTTTTTTTTTTAGTATCATAGAAGACAATATTAATATAAAATTTTGAAGTGAAGATGATAGATTTATCATCTTGGCTTTGCATTTTTAGGTTCGATCTGGTGCAAATGTTCTGATTTGTGGGCCAAATGGGTGTGGGAAGAGTTCACTTTTTCGTGTTCTTGGTGAGGTAAGGAAACTTTTAAATGGGGGAGAATCCGAAGCGCTGTTGTAATTGGACTTTTTTGGTCAAGTTTAAACCTTTTTCTTGTTGCAGTTGTGGCCTTTGTTTGGTGGGCGTTTAACAAAACCTGTCAGAGGAAAGTTGTTCTATGTTCCCCAGGTGAGGCAAAGTACTTTAACTGACAATAGTGTTCTCTTTCTTTCTACTTTGACTATATTTAGAAATATTTGACATACCTTTTTGTTTATGACTGTATCTCAGAGGCCATATATGACTCTTGGAACACTCAGAGATCAAGTTATATATCCAGATACTTTAGAAGATCAGAGAAAGAAAGGGATTTCTGACCAGGTAATGATAATTAGTTCATTAACCCTTTGTCATGCTTAAGATGAGTAACGCTTCAGATTTAAAAATATTGAAATTGCTATTAAAAGCACTGCATTTAGTTTGTTTTTAATATTGATCAGGGTTGATGGTACACCAGTATAATGGTATAATGCTTTATAACCTTTTTCAGTCATTTCTTTAAGTTCACTTAAGCTCTATTTGTCATTCCTGTTTCAATAAAAGGTGCTGAAGGAGTACTTGGATAACGTCCAGCTGGGTCCAATCTTGGAACGTGAAGGAGGCTGGGATAGTGTTCAGGACTGGATGGATGTACTCAGCGGGGGAGAGAAACAGAGAATGGCGGTATGTCACAAAAGCATAAATACTTAACAAATACAGGATGTAGGTAGAAAATGTAATCTGAATTGTAAGCGAATTTTTTTTACTAAATATTAAGATTTTACTTAAGAAGAAACCCCTAAAATGTGAAATACCCAAATACTGAGAAAACAACCTAAAATAGTGTTTATTGCACTCAAAATTTAATAGGAAATGGTGAGCTTTTACTACGCCTTACACTTCAATTATATAAACAGGAGTTCTAAAGTAATTGTTTTTCAAAAAAGAAAAGTAAGGATAATATACAGCCCTCAGATTTTCAGGTTTCAGTGGGTCCCAGCGTAAAGAAATTCCCTTGCCACAGTGAATTTTTGGACATTAATTCTTAGTTTAACTTCTAGGACTGCATTATTGGTTGTAGTTCTGTATCCACAGTAGCTTTTTGGTTTGCATTCCAGATGGCAAGGTTATTCTACCATAAGCCCCAGTTTGCAATTCTGGATGAGTGCACCAGTGCTGTTAGCGTTGATGTAGAAGGCTACATTTACAGCCACTGCCGAAAGGTAAGCTCTTTGTTTCTAGAACTATACCTCTGCATGTTAACAGGAAACTTAAAATGATACCAGGTGCGCTCTTCCTCACCCCTGCTGCAGATTACAAAAAAAAAGTAAGCTTAGAACGGCATGCAAGGATTCTTTATGCGCACTAGAATTCAATAATTGTTTTGTAGTCTTAAAATAATTTAGATGTACATGGGGCCTCTGTATATTAGAGAACCGTTACTGGTAAGTAGCCTAACTTTTCTAGAGAAACTCTTAGAGTTCAAGTGAAGATCAAAGAATCTAAAATTTTGTACTATTATGTTGTTCAAGAGGTTTCTTTTGGCCAGGGCAACAGAAGTGAAAGGGTGGAAATTAACATTTCCATCTACTTGGAGGTATGAGAAGCCAAGCACTCTAGGAAAACAGAATAATTGTAAATATAGTTTTCTTTTTGTTCTAATACCTTTCCAGATTCTACGTAGTGGTATGTGAAATATCAGTAAGATTCAATGTCGCACCCCTAGCCTGGGAAAGAATGGGCTTGAAATAACATTAATTATTGAGTAACAGTATTCTCAGAATGGTAATGGAGCAAAGCTGTGCATCCACTGAAATATGTGCTTGAAACCTGAAGTGGGAACTTAAGGAGCCATCTGTGGTAGTAAATTGACACTAGATGAGGACTTTTCACAAGAATGGATGTTGTTTCTTGAACGCATTTCACCACATTAGTATCAATACCCTGACATTTTTCTAAGTCTGTTTTGCGTATACTTGTTATTCTGTTAACTTGAATGTTCATTTGTACTTTTCTTTTGGAGTTACTGTTGCCAAGTGGCTAGTGCGTATTACTGAAAAAAGAATTCCTGGTTAAGCTGTCCTTGCAGAAAGAAAAAATGTTACCCTGTTTTATCATCAGAAGCATTTTGTCCTTTAATTGATGCCACTGTTAGGGATGCATAATTAACTGAGTTGCAAGGAAACAGAGGAAGATTATTCACCTTCAAATTGTCCCTTTAAGTTTATAATTCACTAATAGCTTTTGTGGTTTTGGCTTTTTTTGTTGTTAAGGTAGGCTTCTTTTAATCACCAGGTTTGTTGTTTTACCTATCTTCTTCTTTACCTCCTTTGCCCAGTTCGTTCTATGATTTGCCAGATTGTTAGGAGCAAAAGACTGGTGAAATAAAATTATATTTTTTTATTTTTTTTTTTACTTTCACTGCAGAATCTTATATTAAGGCTACATATGTATACTGTTAATAATAGAGTCTGGAAGTTTGTGTTTGTGAATTTAAGCTCTTCAGCTGATACCATACTGAAAAATAAGTAACATGTATCCCATGAGAAAAATTAACTGCTGTATTGTGTGTATCTTCTTCGTGTAGGTTGGCATCACTCTCTTCACTGTCTCTCACAGAAAGTCACTCTGGAAACATCATGATGTATGTAGCCTTTGCTTTTGCTAAGGGTATCTGTAGGGGGTAGGGATTTTGTTGTTTGACTTTCTATTAAATTGACCATACAATTCAAGGTGTTGTCATTTTACATCCTTGTAGGTTGTGTTCTGTTTTTTTAAAAAAGGTTTTACTTTCATAATCCACTTGCACTATTTGAAATATTCTTACACTTCTAGTTATGAAAGGAAAAGTAACCAAAAAATCCTTAAATGTATCTGTAAAAGTAGCCTCAAAAATATGAAAGGCTCACTAGAATATTTAAGTCTTCTTTCTTAGCCTCAAAAAAACCCTTTGAACCAGAAACCAGTAAACAGCATGGAGTTTTTGCTTTCAAGATGCCTAATGTATCTATGCATTAAAAAAAAAAAAAGTTAATCTCTAATACATGGACTTCTTTTCTTCCAAACTAAGATTTTACTGTTGTTACTACTTTTTAATGCAGGCAGGCAGACTGTATGTGTCGGAAAAATACTGAATTAATGCACAGGGATCAATGTGTACCTTAAGTATATTGTCACAAAACCCAAGATTGCAGTGTTAAATCTAAAAGTGACCATTTAGCAGACGGATGGATGATATGAACAAAAACACTTAAACTCTTCTTCTGGAGGCAAATGAATTTAATAAAACATGAGGTGGGAGAAGCTTACCCTGTGGCTAGCTGAGTTTAAGATTTTGCATTAGAACTACGTCAAAGTATAATTTATTTAGGCATTTATAGACGTGGTAATTTTTAGGTGGTTGATAATGTAAGTTCTTTTATTTCAGTTTTACTTGCATATGGATGGCAGAGGAAACTACGAGTTCAAGAAAATAACTGAAGACACAGTCGAATTTGGATCTTAAAGTCATAGAACTGCTACAGAGTCTGATGATTGCAGGACCCATGTACAATGGCAGACATTGTACAAGAAAACTACTCAGCTTGTTTTTTAAACAAATTGACTAGGATAACCCAAAACAAGCTATTAAGCATTTACTATTAATGTAGGATATTGCTAATTGTGTATATGTTGGTTTAATTATTGATGTGTACTAAGAATTTCCTTATTCTTGTGGTTTAAAAACCTGCCTAAATTAAATTGGGCTTCAGTCAGTGTAACCTGATTCATCCTGGGATGCAAACCATTTGAAATCAGCTGATTTGACTTTTGTAGACCTTCTTTCCCTTCAGTGAAAAGCCCTGTTAAAATTAGGGTTGCTACCTCTTCTTCCTGCAAAGCAGTCTTGGAATTTTGCTCTGTTCTATGCATATTTCTGAGTTGTCTCACATGGTGCAGGATATTCTGCCATCTTCAAATCTGTGCCCTGTTAAATGAAAGAGCCTTTTCCTTGACCAAGCCTTGTGATGTAGCCAATACACCCTTACTCATAAAGGATGGAATGAATCTAAAAGACAAAACTAATTCCTTCTGCTAAAAAAAATTAAGCTTGTTCTGTGATGGGTTTTGGATTCTCTTTAATGTCTGTCTGTCCATGCAACTGTCTCTGCTGCTCAGCATTCCCATTCCCTCCCAATTGAGCAGGAGCTTCATCCATCTGCCACCCCAGGTGCCCTTTTTCTGTCAGAGAAATACTGTTAATGAAGAGTTGAGAGGAGGTTGAGGGAGGAAAGGACTGACCAAAAAAAACCACCAAAAAACCAGGAGAAGGAAAGTAATGTTCCTTGTGCATGTTTTCAGCTCTGACGAAATGAATGGCTCCCACAAGTAGCAACAGAAAAGAATGTGGGTCCGGTCATTCATCTCTTGAATTCAGCAGGGCTTGGAATGGACTCAAAAATGTTAATCTGTGAAATAGCAGACTGCTGTCAGTCCTGTGTGTGTTCAGTCCTGTAATACAGCAGTTGCTTTTTCCAAGTAGTTCCTTTTCTCCTTCTTCAAAAAAACAGATCACCTCATGGTTTTAGCTGCCCTTCAGATCTGAGCTTGAAAGTAAGTGGTAATGATACTTCCTGTTTGGCCTTCTGGGCTGTGAAGCCTAAAATGATGCTTTCATCCTTCACATTTATTCTCGTAATTTGTCATGAGGTTTCTTGGTTTCTGATAGAAATTATTCACCGGTGATTCTTGCTGTTGTCTAAGGATCTCTAGTCCCTGATGATTTTCTTGTTCCAGCTGCCAAATCCCCTTGAAGAAACCAAGCTCTTCAAATAGTTCACTGTAACCATTTTTTCCATACATATGTTGCCATACAACTTTGACAGATATAAATGCAGCAAGGTGATTTTTGTGATCAGGGAATGGGAAGGTATCACTCAAACTGGATCACTGTTTAGGCTTTAAAACAAAAATTTTCAATACCTGTTGTACAGTGAAGGTCTAGTAGTTTTTTAGTGTTCCGTACAAACTATAATACAGAAATGCACTACATGAAGGCATGCATAAAATATGCAATAAATGTGTGCATCTTTTATGAAGGGTTTAGATTAAAAACAAAACCAATTTTTTATAAAATGGATATGTACTTGGATGCACTGCTGTCAATTTTTACCCAATTTGCTTAGTCATCATCTTTCATGTTGAAATTGCTACCTGTTAGTGTTTTCCCTTTTATCATAGTTCTTGCCCATACCTATCAGTACTACTGTTCTCTCATAGCACTGAAATACAAATAACTATCCTGGTGTAAGAATCTAATGACTGCAGCAGATTCGTAGTACAGTGCATCAGTGTAAATCAGAAAAGCCTCTCTGAAGTGTAGCATATTCAAGAGAATAAGGTACCAGGATAAATTTTTGTGCTTGGTCCACAAGAAAGCAAATAGATATCTCATTTTACTAATTTTTTCTGATCATTCAGATTCTCACATCAGCCATAACATAGCAGATAGCAGCATGCTGTATGTGAGGTGGTAGTCTTTTTTTTAATTGTAACCATGAAAATAGGGGTGCCAGATAGCGAATTTTCTTTTTTCTTTTGTGAAAGTTCTCAGCACAAATGCAACTTCTTCTCTTGGAATTGAGGTTTTAGTAGTGAGACAAAGAAAAAAAAATCTCTGAAATGAAAGTTGCTTTTATCCTTGTGGCTAGGGCAGACTTTGCAGCGGAGTAGTCAGCTTGAGAAACTTCAATGTATTTTTCACACTGACAAGCAAAGCCACACACAGCACACTTATATAGCACCCCAGCAGCCAATCCTAAGGTACTTTGCAATTCAGTTGGTTAAAACCAGATTTTTGTGTGATCTCAGATTTATTTAAAAAATTAAACAAAAAAAAAAAAAATCCAACTCCATAACCAAGGAGGCATAGATTTGCCTTTAGATGCCATGAATTTTGTTGAAACTGAGGACATTAGTGTCTCCTTAGGGTCAGGACTTAGTGTTTCTAAATATACTGAAAGGAAAGAAAAATACTCTTCTGTGCTTGATTGTAAGGGAGGCATATAAAAAAGAACAATGTTTTAGAATGATACTCTTAAAAGGCCTTATGTTAAAGTATTTTGAGATAAACTTGGTCTAATGAAAGATTGTAAAAAATCTGATGAAAGTGATCTAAGTCTCACTTCTGTTGCGGAATTGCACTGTGATACTGTATTTTAGCTATTATGTCTTTTTAATAGCACAAGTTGGAAGTTTGCAAATTGGAGTTCTGAACTGTCCTAGCAAGACAAAGTGCTGATAGATATTTTCAGTCTCAAACTGTTGGTGCTCTGAAGATGGTACTGGTAATAGTCAGATGGCTGCATTTCAACAGTGGTGGGAAACATTCCTGTATGTAAATACTGTAAAGTGCTTTGGAGGAGGAAATGGCGCTATATAAATGTAAGACATTAAGTGCCTCTGAAATAATAATAAATCTAAAGAGAAAATATATCTAGTCTTTTTATGTTTCTTGATGATGTGATTAAGAATTTTGTAACAATAGAGTGAATTCCACAAATCTCAAATTACATAGTGAGCTGATTGACTTGTGTTCAGCTTATAAAAGCCATAGTACTGTCTGAAATTCATCCTGGAATCAGCCAGATGATGCCATCCAGTTATAGGCTTGACAAAAAACATGAGCTCAGTACTTGAAGATGTGTGCTTAGAGCAATTGGATTGTAGGTGCATTAATCTTGTTTAAGTCTGCACTGGTTCTGACCTCTCTCTCCGTTATCCACTGGCCACTTCTTTTCCCTTCGAGTTAATTGATTTTAGAAGTGTGTGAGCCTGAATAAGGTTAACATAATACCAGTACTCAATGTGGTATTTCTTTTGAGTGCTTCTTAAGCTTCATACTATGAGAAAAATAGGATAATCACTCTCCAACTTTATCGTATGTGTGATTTTTTTAATGCTATTCTTTGTTGTGATAGACATAGCAGCTATCGGGATACTTGAAACTCAGTAGTGTAAGAGTGAAACCAAGATATGCTTGAATGAACTGATTTTGAGGCTGTTCTCGGGTGATCAGTGTTTTCTAGTGCTGATTAGTACTAATTTTTCCTTCTCTTAGCTAAGATTTGTTGTGCAACAAGTGTATTGTGTAGCACTCTGAAAGGGTAGAGCTCCCTTTGAAAGGAGATTCCTCAACCAACGATGCAATCTAAAAATCTAAGTGTCATTCAACTTAGCTGATGAGCTGGAGAGAAAAAAAGGAACTTCTGTGTTGTGTATGTGATGTTTCATACTTAAATTTAATATTTAGAGTAGTGTAAAGTCTGTTACTTGTTCAGCTGTAACCTCTCAGCTGCCCAGTTCATTCCAAATGCTTGGTTGGTGTGCCTCAGCACTTTAATTCTTCCTTAGGTAGAGGAAAAACATCAGTTCCTGGAATGGTAGCACTAAAACCATGGAGCAACAAATTCAAAGTCCTTTTCAAGGATCAGTCCACCATCTTTTGAGGATGTAGCCTTGGTCCAGTATTTCTGAATAAAGCTCTAGACAGCTGTCCTCTCTCAGCAAAAATTAAACTTGCTTGATGAACACTGTGTTTTTTGGGAGATGATGCTGCTTTCTACAGGACTGGCATGAGACTGGAATCAGCTGCAAAGTAAACAGAACATCACTGTGAACATCGTCGTCTTCCATCCTGAGAGCAAAGCATGCTTCACTGCATCGCAGATACATTTTTCTTACAGGGGGAAAAAAAAAAAGCTAGCAGGAAATGCACACAAAAATCCAACCTACCTCTGCCTCTTGTAGTTCTTCTGGGAATAGTTGGCAGCGTAAGCTCCATCGTAGCCATTACCTATCTTGTAGGGATGTTTGTTGCCCAAATGTGGCCCAGATAGAGTGGAGTAGATGCACCTGGCTGGAGAGCCCAAGTGTAAGATTACTTTTAGCACCATTTGAAAGTGACTTGTGCTATAAGAAAATTCTGGATGTATTGCCACTTCATTAGCTCTGTTCTGTATACTAGAAAAGATGACTAGTGAGAAACAAAGCAGAATGTAGTGCTACCATGACAGTTAACTTGACAGGCTTTTTAATTAATTCACATCTAGTATTGAAAACTTAAATGACTTACTATGCTTCTTCAGAATAGGGAATTCAATCTTCATGTTTCTTAAATCTATAAAGAAGAAATACCCTGCGGATTAGGACTGAAGGGAAAGAACTAAGTTAGTGATTCTTCCATAGGATTCATCCCTCTGCAGACTTGACACAACCAGTGCGTTGCCTAACCTTTGGTGTTCTGAAGTAGTCTAGAAATGTGAAAAAACATTAAGATGTCCTATCATCAAGACAGGTGTTAAAAATCCATTATTAAAATTTATATGCAATTGTCACACATACTATGAGATGTCCTACAAATGTCCGTGATGAGGATCATCTGAAATCCAGCTGTGAAAAATAGTAGGGGGGGGAAGTTTATCTTGGTTTTATGGAGAAAATCAACTACAGCTTTTATCTGTCAAGGGAGTCAAGAGTGTGCAAGTTCAAATTTCTGCTTATAAAGATGCTCTTCAAAACACCTGTTTCTGTGTGTAATGTATTTGCTTCTTTATTAGCTGTAGATACCAGCTGGTTTGTGCCAGTCGCATGGAAAGAGGTTTCTTGGTTTTGTGAATCAGTGACGTGCAGCTGTTCTGGGAAGAGGTTGGTTGGTTTTCCCTTCACATGTGGTTCCAGGCTCTTGCTATTGCTCTGGGTGCAGTCAGATTTTTATTAATGATGCTTTAAACTTCACCTGGAAGTTTAGGGTGGCTGTGCACGTTACAGCTTCCTATAATACGTTTGTTTATATGTTCTGATGAAACTAGTCTTGTCATGTGCATTCAAACATAAGATGAAACTGGTTTCATCTTGAAACAAATATAACCAAGCTAGGTTACTAGAAAAGCAATTTGACTTTTAGGTTGAAACCTTAGAAACATGTTATCTTCAGAGTTGCTCAGCCACCTTTGAACTGCTGTATCATTTTCTTTCCTTGTATGCAAAACCAGAGCCAGGTGACAAGCAGCCTGCAAATTCACAGGCAGAAGCTCTCTTAAGGGACAAAGTTGAAAAATGACAGATTCAGGGTTTAAATAGAAATAATAT